GAACATATAAATATAATAATGCAATATCTCGGCTGACGTGCCGGCTTGCAGTGTAAACGAGTGTTATTGACATCGAGAAGTTCGGAGAGAAAGGTAACACAAGAATCGTACGATCGGAAGACTCGAATCACCTGAGCCCCCATTCACTCGGTCCACGGCGGAACGGTACAGTGCGAATGCTACGCGAGAATACACTGACTGGAAATATAATGTTTGCAAGCAAGTAAAGCGACAATGTTTATAAACAAGCATGGTACCGACAGAATACAATAGATTATAAAACCTAAGAATTTGTATTAAAATACTGTGGACATCTCATAGACATGATTCAATCGTAGAATGTTTGTTAAGATATGAATTTTATAAGCAACAACATTGAATTGCAAGCAGATTATGACACTCTACAACCACGTATAAAAGCATTCGCTTCGAATGCTTTTAAACGTGGTTTGGAATTTCCGAAACTACAGCCAACAATTATTGAATTGGAAAGGCCAAAATAAATTAAAATGAACAAGGATCTTGGGCCGGAATTCCAAGCTTCTCATTATTGATTATTGAAAGTGGTACAGCTATATCTAGCATCTCCAAAAGATGTTGAATCAAAATAATCCATCGGCTGCAAGGATTCGCACGACTTGTAACTATGACTAGATTTCGATATGAGGATAAATCCGCCAGATAGTGAAATACAATAAGCGAACTGTTGTGCTATCGCTACAAGAGTTCGCGCGAAACGAGGGCAAGCCGGGAACATCAATATTATCTGCGTTGATTGGACAAATGGGCTCAACAACTGTATTGCTGTTCACACGTGACAGCGACACGTACTTTGTACAAGCAATATTACATTTAATCCTAATCCAGCAAGGTTAATTTTCATTAAATGAGTGTATAATGTACATAGAAGGTAGAGTAATTTATTAATTGAAGTTTTTTTGGCAAATTATGGGTGTGGAGTTTCACAATATGCTCGTTCCTATGTTAGAAAAGGATAACCGAAACATGCACAATACAAAACGTAAATGAAACCATCCGCCTTTACCTTTGATGCTATCGATGTTTCGTCCTCGAAAGCAACATCAACAGTACTAATGGAACTTTGTGTTACTATGCCAAAACCAACAAAACAGAAGTAAGCCATCATTTCCATTTGTATTGTGCAATGTGTAATATTGCAAATCAAACAAGTCAATGTATAACCTATCTTTGATGTAAAACATAAGCAACATCAGGAAGAACTGCGTAATTTCGATTTTAGGACATGTATTCTCGTTTGTAAATTCAATTCTAATACTGTCGTAGTCTTATGCAGTAACTATACCAGAAAAAAAGTATTATAGTAACACGAATAAATCCTTATAGTCACATGTTAGAATTAAAATGTCGTATGGGAATCCGAATATATTCCTGAGAAAGAAAATTATTAAATCATCTCTTACAAAAACTTCGCTAATTAATTTAACCAAACAATCTTAAAAGAACCTGATAGGTAACAAGATTGCAAATATCAATTTGTCAAGAAGCATTAAGACCTAAGTATAATTTATGAGGATTTTTATGTTCATAGGCATTTTATTCACTGAAGACAGCAAAATGTAATGCATCATTAACAATATTTGGCTGTCTCTTAAATATGAGGTTAATTCAACTTGATTCCGAAATACTTTCTTGTCGATTCTTTTCGATAGGTAATTTTTGATGGTTTTATCCACAAAACCAAACTGACAAGTGACAATCAGGCCACATCATAAAAAGGGTCATTTTTGAAGAACTTTAAAAAAAATATGCTGCTCCACGTCAGCAGCGTAATGCCAAAAAGCCTAAACATGATTTCAAAATATCTAGTGTCCGTCATTATGAATAACTATTTAGGTGAAACTTAGTAAGATTAGATAGGTGTGATTGAGTTATTTGTAGATATCCTCGATAGTATAATGGCTTGACGTCAGTAAACTCTACACATGAACGTATATTTACAATAGACTACGGTTTGTGATGAGAAAAATACTTAGAAGTACCTCATAACATTATAGTGTATAATTATTAATTTGTAATCCAATGAAATACAATGGGGTAAAAATATTTTGCATTTCAGAACTGCTGTTTAACTCTTGAGCACATGTGCACTGGGTGCTGACAAATTGCAGAATTATTAGACAAAGTCGAGTAGATGACTTCCATTGCATACCACTAATAAATAAAGAGACTTTTTGGATATACTGTATTACACAATTAGGAAGAGATATAGGACTCTTAACAACAATGCCAATGGTGTTACTATCAGTAAATATTTAGATTAGATGGATTACCACTTTTTGGAAACAAAGTATTTCGAACCATACTTATGAACCGTATTGTGCCTTACACAAAATATCTTTGACTTGTCCGATTCGCAGACAATTGGGTGCCAATCTAATCACAGACACATAAGAGTCATAATAAATTTCGTTTTAGGATTCTAATACGATTACGAATAATTTACTGATGTGGAATGAGTGGGAGAGTTTCACATCATACCAACAGTCTATAAGTGGCCACTGCTGACCAAAGGCTTCTTCTCACGGGTAGAAGGTTTTAGTATTAATTACCACGCGTACTCAATGCGGATTGGCAATTTTAACCTATAATTAGAAATTATAAGCCCATGTTTCCTCACGATGTTCTCCTTCACCGTTTGTCAGTGGCGTCTAAATAATCTTAGAAAGTACATAAACTCTGAAAAAGCTACATTGGTACTTTGCCGTTGATAGGTTTTGATTTTTCGAATCAGTCCTCTCATGCATGAGAAGCAAGCGTCTTAGACTCCCGGGCCACCACGACACAAAGATAACCTTCTGTTAATTTTAACGAGTCTTTAGTGTTATTTAATAGAGGGCGAAATCCAATTCTCCTGATAGATTATCAAGCTTTAAGTAAATTTAGTTTCCGAAGACGATCTAACCTATGACACTGCGTATAAATAGCTGACAGCTAACCTACATGTTCGAAAAAACTCGAAGATAAGGATAAGAATTCTTTTAAAATTACGTTTTACACAACTCATTTTAGAACGAGACGTAGATATTCATAATAAATATGGAAATGATAAGTATTATTAGCAAATAACTCAGGATTGCGGGTTTGACGTAAAACGACATCTTGTAAACATCCGCGGTTGAAAATGGACCATGTTTACCAGAAGGGTACGATAAACCCAATATGATAACTCAGAGAATAGGCAAGTTGACCATTAATCAGATTATATTACCTAATATGCCAAAAAACCAACATATTAGTTATTTGAAGATTTACTCGTTTATGACGAAATTATATCAAAATATCTATAATTGTCTTTACAGTGCAATTGGAAAGATTACCTTTTTTCCTTGTCCTGTAATGACACGGCCTCCATATTGTCCAAAAACACAACACAAAAGAAATCAGCACATTACAATTTCAGACCGAACAACAACTAATACAACTGATACTATTTCATACTATACAAAACAATAATTTCTAAATTACGTTCTACAAACGATTGCTTTGACGACGTAAACATATCTGAAGGAATGGTCTGACCTGTACAAAATGATATTAATCATCCTATAATCGCAGATAATGTGTTATTGATAAAAGACAAAATCGCTTGCCACTCAACGTGTCTTTTAATAAAAATTGGCTCATGCGTACTATGACGCGTGGATCCAGATAAGGATAAAATTGCGAGTAAGACAAGGATTCGATGAAATATCGAGGTACAATTCCAATTACAGAGGGAAAAGTAGAAATTTTAGAACACCGTGGTCTTTGTATACTTCTTTGAAATTCCACAAGTTTACATATCATGCCTATAAGCACGGCAGACAAGAGAATTTACAAAGATTTTCGAGAATCTCGTCTCCATGAGCATCATTTTCATACACCAAATTAATTTCTTCGTTACAGCTATATCTCCATTTTTCAACGTCCCAGTTCTTTGAAATGTTACAAAATAGCAGTATTTTGATGCCGCAGCTCACTCATAAGTGTCGCAATCACGACATTTTAAAACCACTTCCGCGATTTCAAAGACATTTGTCTCGCGATGGCTTTTTTCCGCAAGAGCAGTCGTGGATAAAAGCTGTACATTTTTTAAAGTTTCAGAAACATGTGTTCCAGTTTTCACTTAAGTAACCAAGGCTTGTTGTGACTAATATATTACCCATTTTCGACAGCATTCATGTTAAAGTAACATTAGATTTTTTTAGATTTCAAAACAATCGAGATAATTAAGCACTTGTTTTGTTCTAAATTGTATTTAGGGATTGGGTCAGTAACCTAAAGGCTAGTTGGCCTATACAAAATTAGCTGCTCTATATGTTACTAGGTCAGCAGGACTGTATTGGGTAACATTAGGCGACATATTAAATTACTTCATCCTTGATTGAGCATTGGAGACAGTTCCATTCCACAAGAGCGTACAATTTACATAGAAACCCTCTCGGAGAAAGATAACTAAGTACGTGCGGTGCATCCTAAGCAACCAAGTACGTTATGGACATGCAAATCTCTATACGGTAACCAGATTTGTTATTTTCATGTGAAAACTAGAATAGATGAAAAATATTCTATGCTTCATTCTTATTAAAGGTTAACAGATAGAAGAATAACAAACAATATTAAGTTCAAATAAGACCGCGGATACAACACCTTACAAAAGAATATCGAAAGACGAAATTCCGACAAATATGAGTCGAGAGATCCCTCTAAGGCGTTAGCAACTACTGGACTAGCTCCAGTAGTTGCTAACGCCTTAGCCTATAGCTACAAGATGAACAAAGCATTCATAAATCCGCTGTAGCCATGTGGAAACTACTATAAAGATTTGCAATCTTATCATTTGGGAAACCTGTTCTTTTTACGCCATATTACATCATTGCTAGACATTTGGCTGATGACGAAGATGACGATTTATATTGTGCTGTCCAGTTATAAATGTATTTTAAAAGTATTATGAGAAATTAAGAGTAAGTACTTACTTATCATGCTTAGTGGATCGAGGGTGTGGTTCGAGCTGCAGCGGGGTGGCGGGAGCGGAGCGCGGGGCCCCACACCCGCCACCCGCCGCGCCAGCCGCGAAATTGCCGGTTGACCTGAAACAAGCAAACATGCACACATTCAAGCTTCAACATACGGAAATACGGATAGACGGAAAACATCGTGAGGAAACCTGGGCTTATAATTTAATTTATAGTTTGAAATCGCCAACCCGCATTGAGCAAGCGTGGTGATTAATGCTCTAACTTTCTCCATGTCAGAAGAGGCTTTGCTCAGCAGTGGGCATTTATAGGCTGTAGATAATGATGGGACAAGTGTCATTTACTTTTTTGCTTCATTTGAGCAGTCTGTCCTCTTATTGAAGCAGACTGCATCTGTGTGTATATGATGGAACAGGGTAAACGAATGGTCCTGTAGGTATTGGTGCAAACCATGACGAGACTTTATACAACTAAGTATGATTCGTAGTGTATGGTCCTATGTTAAATTTAAAATTAATAGAAAACATTTGAAATCGCAACGCAAACCAACACTTATTGGATGCCTATGAACGTATAAGGCAAGCAGAAAATATGCGATAGCTCGTCAATTTCGAAATGTAGTAAAAATGTAGTATAAAAACTGTACAACAAACTATAAATAGTAGGTCACAATTACTATGAATACTCAGCACCGTAAACTATTCACATTGTTCGCTGACGTTTGTTTAATTCCTAGTTTAGTACCCTTGCCGTCAGAGCTATGATTAGTAACTATGTATTGTCATTTCTATGAATAATCTCACAACATCATAAAACGGTCGCACATATTTATTTCAAGCGTCTAATGACTACAAGGATAGTAAACAGAATATGTCATAATACTTGTTAGCCGAACAAGTACTTGTAAAAACCCAAATAAAGTTTTTTTGAGATTTTACTAAATTTTTTAAATACTAGCTAAGATATTATGTTCTTATAATATATATATTCCAAATTCAAGATTTTCTGTGAATAATATTTTTTTATAAACTACGTATCACCGACTTCAACCCCCTGTCTTTTGAGGTCGGTTTATTAATGTACTAAAACCTTATCCTAAGTGTAACAAACACTTTTCTGAAATCACATCAAAATCGAGATAATCGTGCACAAACAAACATAAATACATACAAGTCAAACTGTGAACCTCCTTCTTTTTTGAAGTCGGTTAAAAAGGACCACATTCCTACAGCAAAAAGGAAATCGTTTGGAAATGCATCTCACGAAACCGCTCACAAAACCTCCAATAGGAAATAGGGAACATCAGATATCTGTGTGCTTTCGCCCAAAAGAAACGAAGGGGTAATACATCAAATATGAACAGTTTCCAATAAGATAAGATGCAAGAACATAAACTAAAATAGATAAGGCATCTTGCTACAAGGTAGTTGCTGTAAGTAACTGTAAATATGTACGCGTATAATTCTTTCATAAACTCCGTTTAAGAAAATGGACTTCACTTCAACCCCGTCCTTTTTTAAAATCGTTTAATTAATTTGTGGAGTGTCGGAACGCAGATCTACCCGAAACAATGTGTTTTCTATTGTGTCTTATGTATAGAGAAACAAGAGGTTAATAAACTAAAACCTTTTCCTAATTGTAACAAATGCTTTTCTGAAAACCAAAATTGTTTAAGCGAATCGCAAGATACATACATATCATCGCACAAACATACATACATATCAAATTGAGAACATCCTTTTTTTGAAATCTGTTAATACGTAACAAAACAACACAGCAACCACAAACCAATAAAATGACCTTGGCAACAAAATTTCAAACCGACAACGGATACTAATAAAAAATTATCCTCATACCTTTTATACTTAGTATAGCTCCTTCGTCTTAATGTAGTTGTTGGAGGAGGCACTAAATAAGAGGGATGACTCCTCATCTTCCTTCCAACTTTTTTCCGAACCATGATACACACAAATCACAATCTCATTCAAACGAGACCACAGCAACTGTTAACTATACAAAGACTACTGGCCAAACTTCAAAAGCACTACATCTTATGAACCTATTGCCATTTGAGAACAATGAAAGCAAGTCCAAACATTATCATCATTGAAACAATCACTTATCAACATACGCAACCACAACGCACGTCCTACTTACTAATAATGCACACAAATATTTTCTATTTTATATTTTTCACTTCGATAACAAATTGCGGTTTCGAAAAACCTATGGTGTGTCTGTAACACGACCACTGTGCTATAAACTACAATGAGACTACGAACATTTGTACAAATAACGACTCTGTGAACATTACAAATATATTTTGTGGACAATACATATTCTGACAGCAAAAAACATGTATACGCTCTATGCATACACAATTGTTATACATAAGTATATTATAACGAGTCACAAAGTCCGATTGCAATTACAGCGTTATTGTAAAAAATATAAAATTACAAACGAAGTAGTCATCATTTTTAGAAGATGATAGTATAGATTCGTGGATTTGTATTTGAAAAAAAAACAACATTTAAAGCAATGATTTAGCAACAATCCTACAACAATGTGAAACTTAGCATACACGTGGATTTTTAGAATAACAAAAGTGCCTAGGTACTAGTTATAGGTAAAATAACTGTCACCGATAGTCTAATTCAAAACATCGCACCATATCATACAGAATATTACAATAAAAAATACATAAAATACAATAGATAAGGACAAGAGTATGATCCTCATTCTAATGCTAGCCTTGACCCCGTTATGTTAATTGTCCATGAGCGCCTAAAGGGACTAGGCGCAAACAAGATGTTCTCTCGTACTCAAGGATAACATTATTTTAAGCTATTACATCCAAGGACAGAAAACGCGTGTTATCACAGGATATGTACAACAAATTCAGCTACAACTGTAATATAATTCATTTGATTACTTGTTGTACTGGCCAAATGGAAAGCCCAAATGGGCAAAACTTTTAACGAATTACTTCTTTTCTTACACGTTGCCAATCTTTGCATTGGGGATTTACACTTTGTGCGGATATGACTAAATGTATTGAACGGAAATTCCGAACCAAAGAAACCACAAGAAAGATCAATGCTCTTTAGTTTGAGCTTCTACTAACTAAAAGCTGATTACTAACTAGTTATTAATATTAACACAACGTTTAGTAAAACAAAACGATAACAAATATAAGGTTCGAAAAGATGTAATCACCGTAGTTCATCTCTCTGATATTAATTTCCTTTGATCCTATAATATTTCTGTCTTAAATCGTTATCGTCAAATATCCTACTAAGTACATAGGAAATCGATGTGTACAGTATAAGTATACAAGTAGAAGAAAAGCAATAAAGACGGGCGAGATTGGTATCGAAACGAAAATAAACTATGAGCAGCAGGCGCCCGACAGTCTGACGATATTGTTCCACGTGTTCATATAGAAACAATCATAGATAGCAACAGTACCGAAAATATGGTCTATTCAAACAAAGAGCGTTTCAATCAAAGCAACATTAAAAAATAATGAACTCTTATGCTTGCAAAAAGAATACAACTATAACCCACAAGTTTGTTGGCTGAAGGATAACAAAATACCAGTAGTCAACTAAATTACACTCCACTAAATTATAACAACCTAAACAGTTTTCTGGACACAAAAATAATCCAGAAAACAATTCCAGCAACTGGTTATTTTCAATGTCTTGTTAATAAAAACAAAATACACTTTAAACTAGCTGATATTTCGAAGAAGCTGAAAAAGTAAGAAGTTTTAACCACTTCCGCCGCAGGGCAAAGTGCCAATAACATTTACTTGATATCTTCATGAAAACAAACTTACAAAAAACTAGTAAAATATAAGATTATTATGTCTTCTAACATTAATTTCTATTCAAACAAGCATTAAAACTTTCACTCTACAAACGTTTTGTCAATCGAAAAGCATTGAACATGATCCTATTTAAATAACTGCAGGAAGATTTTATTCAAGTTATTAGTAGCATTATCGACGTACTCTTTTTAGTACTTACCTACTTATATCAATACATTTTAAAATACAAAAACTAATCAACCCCATAAAGTCAAGTTCTGAGAAATATCGACAAGTTCGTGTCCTTCAAGGGTTGGCATGCAGTTGTTTGTGAACTTCACATGTGAAGCAGCACACATGTTCAGCTACTACGCATTAGAAATTGTTTCATAAACCAAAACACACTAACTACTACATTAACATAACTATGTAAAATCTTACTCTAATATTGTGTCCCATAGCAAGCTCTTCAACTACAGTGTAGTTACTAATTATACAATAGAATCATCGTTTTACAAGTTAACAATATTTCTAGTACTTTTTTAAACATACTTTCCAAACATAACGTGTTATTTGAAGAATACTTCTCATATTTTATGATACTCAAGTTTCTGTTTATAAACTATAGAAAAACTTAGATTGGCTCACACGGTCACTTCATTACTAACGAGGAACTGAATCGAATATGAAGTATATCGGGGTAATAGTAGTGGTATTTTTGAAAATTCTTTGTTCTGAAAGTGTGAGTTTTTATCAAAAGATTGTTTCCTCGAATTCTGAACTAGCGCTACTTTTGTGTGTTTGTGTATTTTAGAGAATGCTGCCGATCAACTATGTGACCATCAATCCTAATATTTATGAGCCTACGTCAGTTCGGATGCGTCCTCAATCTGCTGAGAGTGAAGAGAACCCACATGAAAAAGTAATTGGACTGCGGGAACCATATGAAGAACAAGACACTGAAGAATATTTTGACTACGACAGACAGCCCAGCCCCACTGAAACTACCAGCAAAGTAAGAAAATAAATCCATGCGGCATCCAAGACATGAACTAAGCACATTTTTAATAACATTTTCTGTGATTGTCCAATTTACAGCCGTGTGCTGTCGTGGTCTTATCCAACATGCAGAACCCAAATATGCAGTCGCTGTTACGCAAATATAGATATGACGCAAATGGTTAGAACAATTAGCATATTATTAATGTTTAAATATCTTATTTTTATTACTTTAGCACATACTCAATTTTACATCTGATATAGGTGTGCTGATACCAAGCAGTGTGAAATACTTCATTAAGTTGCCCCAAGGTCTTCGAGCATCGCCTATCCTCGTGCCTTTGAACGACAAGGCTTTTTCACCTTTAGGCGGATTTGTGAGGTACGTTAATCCATTTTAACTCGTCGAGTACCGTATTTATAGACACAATTAAAGAACAATAGGTTGCGGTCACCGGTGACCGCTTGGTGTTTGACAGTTTAAGTTGACGTTAAGCATTGCTACTACCTTTGTTCTGTCTAACTCAGATATTCGAACAGTAACATTAATAACTTGTGCCAATATAATTTTGCAGGTACTACAAAGAAGTTCCACCGATTCCCCATGCTTGGTGAAAAGCATTTCATCCGGATATCCAACACCATACAACGACCGTCTTATAATATAAATGTATCCAATGCTTAGTTTTCTCGTTCACCGATTAATGTAAAAATAAAATATAATCAAGTTTAGTCTGGTGAAATAACCCTTAATCATTTTCTGTCGACTCATCGAACACGTGTAACATCTGTTGTGTCTCATATGCTAGCGTCAACGAAAACTGCAAACAATATACTTCGTGAGAACTGAACTGGTGTAGAAATCGTTCGACCTTATCAATCAAACTAGGGAAAACATAACAAAAAGCATCATTATTATAGGTAAGAAACACTATGATGAAGATGTTTACCATGTTCTTAGTAAGAATCGCCGATGCGGCAATTTATGAGAACGGTCCAATAACTTGATTGAATTAGGCCACCTCTTCTAGAACCTATAGACATCGATTGAGAACAAGTGGTATAAGAGGCCGGATGACGTCAACCAAAACAGCGTGGTCGCTTTTATTTGGTAACTTCTTAACAAATATTCTTTTTGAAGTGTTAATTAACGCTACATAGAAGATTGAACAAGATGAAAGCCTTTCAAAGAAATTCCCATTACTTTATGAATATTACGGAAGGAACAAGTCAATGAGATCGGCATCAGAAATGTAATATGTAAGTACCTACTTTCCCTTAATATTTTTCCATCACATCCATTAAGCGTTCTACGCAAATAAGGCTTCATGAGAAATAATAATTACCAGGAGATTAATTAAGCAGTTTTACTGTTCGTAGGTCAGAAACTCCGTAATAATTTCAGAAATCTTACTGACTTTCATATTCATTTATTAATGTGAACTTGAACAAGTTCAAAAGTCAAGGGTTCCTTTGCAAAGATTAATGTACTTCGGTAAAAGTTTATTGCCTTGCCCGACTCGCTCTCGTGGTTTTGCGCTCCATATTCATTTACCGCCATCTATTATTATAGAGGTGTAACATAATTTATGCATCTACTTACTTGTTGAATTTGTTCCAATAAACATAGCTTTCTTTTAACGCGAGTTAAACTACAAGAAAAGGCTACAGTGAAATAAAATTGAAACTATTAAAACGGATAACACAAGTGTTATTAAGTTCTATGACGCCATTACGAGCTTAGACGCCTTTCATGCTGAAACACATACTTATAGGACACGCACTGAAGGGTGTGGCTAAGAATAGGCACGATAAAGAAGCAAATATGTGAACTGGCCTGCGATGACGTCTTAAGGGAGAGGCTTAGTGCAAAAATCAATAAAGATAAATCCACCATGAACAAATTGTTACAGAATTGGATCGAATACAAGATAATCTTAGCAAATTCGTATAGGAGTATCATTCGCTGTTTAAACAGTGAGAATAATATGAAACCCTTGTGTGACGATGACAGATATACATTAACCTTTACCTACCTAAAAATTTTCAAATCCCTTGATCATTCTAAAAGTATTTTCTACCCACCAACGGTACTCATGGTCGTGGTATAACAACAACACAGTAAACGGTATTTATATTACATGAGAAGATTGTCTCCTAATCAGAAGCCATGTTATCAGTTTCGCCGTATGTTGTAAATGACTATAAAGTCAACAGGTTATTTACAGTTGGAACATCTTGCAAGAGAAACTCCTAAGCAAACATATTCTGCATAATCCCTATCATAAATCGTAAGCCATTACACGCTTTTCTTCAACAACCTTTATCAACGATTGATGTTATTGCGCATCGGTACCGCTGAATGCCTGTACGGATGATGTAACTAGTGAAATCTGCTCCTAGTTTTATCATTCCAACCTTAAACTTTCCATAATAGGTTCGGGGCTAAAAAAAATTCTGGCTCTTTCACCGCCCGACTAACAAACTATCTGGCCTAGTTAAATGTAAGGTGGACCTTCAATATAACTTCAATAGTTATACGCATTCACTCACATTTGACCAATAACACCACCAGATATTAGAAATATTGCAGTAATAAAATCGTAAACCTTGCAACACGAGATAGAATCAAGTGACTTTATCTTTATAGGCACCGATCAAACGCAAATGAAACTAGTTTTGGCAAAATCACGATTTCAATTTTGTAAATGCAATATAGAGTTAAGTACATAGGCAGTTATTATAATTTAAGCAATATAGCCTGCCATATTTCACAGTACATGGTGCCTTGCCAAAAATAAGATGCTTGGACCTTAATAAAAGTCTTCCGCAGATTGATGGTGTCATCTATAACTGTCTCAAGACTATTTTATGGTAGAAATGTTTACAGTCTTTTGCTTACTGGACTTCACCAGTCGGAGCTGTGTATGGTCCAAACATTCCAGAAATCTTCAAGAAGATAGTACCACAATAAATGCCATCATAATTCCAAGAGGCAATATACAATCGAAGGTAATGGTGTACTAATAGCAGCCATAAAAGATAACGTAGCTACTCATCTCCCATTCTATGGCTTACATTTTATGAGTATTACTAGGTACTTCAAATGTTCATATCTATCGACTGCAGTTGTGTTTATACTGAGAATAAACAATGTGCATTCAATACTATTACTTCGAACTATAAACAATAATTCTCGAGTCAGAATGTCTGTATTTTTACTTTATATTGGTTGCATACCTAATGTTTATACATTTGCTCGGTTATTTTGGAATCGATTTCATCGACTTTGGAAGCCTTTATTTATATTTCGAGACCTTTATTAGAAAACTTGGCATTTTCTGCGTAGAAAGAGATGTGTCACTTTCAATATCAGCTCGTAGTCTCTAATATGATATCTTCATATTTGGAGGAGGATGTTATTGATATTTAAAACAGATCCAATCTAATCTTTGACATGTTATATTTCTGAACAACGCACGTGCTTGAGAAGATCAACTACAGAGATTTTCCTCTGATTAATAAAAAAATAAAATATCACGTTGAATTTCTTTTCTACTTTTAATTTTTAAGTTTTTATGTAAAGCGGCAAACTTTCTATTGAATATTCTGAGGTAAACACTTTCTCTAGTCAGTTCTCTTCAAAATCAATCCCTTAAGGGCAGAAGACGAAAGGACCATCAAAGTAAGTACGTTCCATTTAGTAAATGAGGCTTCAGAACGATCTATCAAATACATTTTGCACAAAACGAATGATCCCTTTGCAAACGAATTTCTAAAAGCAAAAGGTTTTTTCCAGCGCTAACCGCACGTGACCGTAATTCTTGCTTTACGCACTCGTGGTTAACGTCCGGTATTTTAGTTGGTAACGAACACATAAAATTACATAGTTAAAGTCCAGGCAACGATCAACACAAATTCTTTTACACTAAACAGATTTGTTGTGCGATTTTTTTAAGTATATCGTGCCTACGGGTTTCCTAAAAGAACCTAGTCCACAGATCATTGAACAGTCTTAGCTCCTAAATATGTTTAAATACGCCTCATTTATAGAAAGGAAATAAAACAAGCAAATAGGCGAGTTCCTAAGCACGTGCGATGCTTATATCACGAATCGAGGGAGCAACCGTTGGAAACGTGCCAACTTCCATACACGACGTAGATAAAATTCTATAATAGGAAACAATATATAACGAAAATTGTCACAGCCGACCAATTTCGGAAGAACGGTCACATCAAAGAGGGACGGCGCGACAGACTCATTCTTAATTCAGCAGGATGTTTAGTCACGTCTTTGTACGGCGGCCTTGGCACTGGCTCCATATTCTCTAAGAAAATGGTCACGTATGATGAAATTTGGTTAGGCTACGTCATAATATGGCGAACGGCGACGACCGATGACTAACGTCGCGCGGTTGTCGCACTACAAATGTTATGCTTGACTCCATCTAACAACTGTGTTAAATTAAAGAGGGACTGGAAGCAGTCAACCACTGTCAGACTGTTATCATCGGAAATATTTTTTAAATCTTTAAACATGTGTACCAAAATAATTATAGTAGGTAACTATAGCCACCTATTTATTTAATTACAACATAGAAAAATGCTCCTAAGTACATTTACAATAAGGTGTATAAACATTCTAATAAAAACAATGAACAACGTATTTTCCATACCAACAAAAACTTGAATTATGAAGCCAGTCAGGCAAATTAACTGAGGTAGTATGGTATTCTAAACAATCCAATTTAAGAAGCGCTTTAAAATATTCGTCAAATATACAAGACAAGGTGAAACCTTACAATTTTAATCCAATTCCCTGTAATTTGAATTTTATTCGGATTTGTTATTTTAAGTTTATGGCGACAAAAGTAAGGCGACAAGGCATAGCAGGATCACAATTGTTGTCATGTACCATAAACGAAGATCAAACAATGGTTGTCGAGTGACAGACACTTCTGACTTCACCACGTCACCATAAGTAACAACTGCTAAAACTATCCAGTATTAACTGGTTATGTCCTCCAGCAGTATATTGATAAAAAATAATTTCCTTTACCAAATAACTGCAAAACTGGCCAGATAGTAAACCACGTTATCGAAGTTTGGATAAACTGATTCCTGTAATCTCAGTGATTTCCAGGAGTAATGAAATAAAACGGGTCGGTCCTAAAGCTCCGGAAAAAAAGTGCGAATGGATTTTCCTGTTGCTAACTATTAAATTAGGTTTCTTGATACTTTTACGTTAGGTACAACAACATTGATGTTTTTTATTTACACATATAAACAAAAATAATGTACCTTCGTTATTTAAAGTGCAACTCGTCTTTCGGGGTGGTCCGAAATGCAAGCTGCTACATTTAATGCATCAAACGCCACTTAAAGTCAAGTCTAATACATCTTTGATCAATTCTAATCACTACTGCATTCAGCCTAGAAAAAGAAGTCTTAGGAAAACTATAAGACCTCTAAATAATTTTATGAAAGTCCTTAATCAAAGAAGATTATCAAAATCTCCTTTCAATTTGTCACTGTCATCCAGAATTTTATTCGTAGAGGGAGCTACTGTCGTTTAATGGCATGAAGTATCAACTTAATATCCCAATAAAGTATCAGGAAGGCATTATTACTAGTCGAAGAGGCCACGCACGACAAATTAGATACTTCCTTTTATTCTGCAACGGCAATGATGACATCATCCATATGGGTCCATGAATTAATATCCTACACTACTGGCTAAGGTACTACAGCACACATTTATGAGGTTTGGTAACTAAAATTATGGACAAGTGAGTAAGTTAATACAATAAAAATGCCCTAAATGTCGAAGATTTATTCCTCCGAATGTTTTGATTCCAAAATAAACATTTTAGACAGTATTAACATTAACCGAGATCGTATTTTCGCATCATTACTGTCGGGAGATCTAATTAATGTTCTATAAAAGTCGTGTAATGATGTGTAAAATGAAACAGATCTGTCAAAAGATTTTCTATTGCCAGATAAAATTCGAATCTAGCTTAGAATTAAACTTAATTTACGAGTAAGTGGGGAAAGTTTGCTGGCCAACGCAAACCGCAGTCTTCGAAGAACCTTATGCAATGGAATTAATCATACAAAATACCAAGTAAATAGACTACAGGCTGAAAAGAATCTTCACAATCTATAGAAAACTGAGCGAGTAAAAATAACTAGATGATTTAACTGGACTCTTTGCGCAACCATTATTTATGTCAACCTTAAACTATTTCAGTTTTAACGTATGTTAAACGATTTCAACGAAAATAGATTTAGGGCAAGGATATTGTCAGATCCAATGTATTTACTTTGATGTGTCAAGTTATCCAGAAACGAGTGTCGTCATTAAGCGGGCGTTTATGAAACAATTTGTCTTGGCCTTAACGTACCGGTTATTTTGGTATCGCCCGTTCAAAGTAGGTCGACAGCACATGGTAAGAATCTATCATAAAGTTGCGACACTGCACCGGTGTTTGCACGTAATTAGATGTGAACGAAAATACACCTTTTATGGGATCTCGTTCCGCTTTCGAGTAATAAAAATGTTTATTGTACTTACCTACTTCCTTCTGAATTAAAGTTGTAAATTCTTATAATGTAACTGAAACCTTAGTTTTATTATGATGCTTTATTGCAAAATCCTAATAATTTTATGAACTATGCAGATGAAAAAAATTATAACTAAATATGAGAAACTCAGAGAATTGCTATTAAGACTCCATGTCCATGTCATTACTCTGCAGGAAACAATAAAAAAATTAGTCACTTCAGTTTTTTTCTTGCAGTCAAGAGGTCTGCATACCTATATTGTGAAGTATCTTGTTTATAAAAAAAATAATCTGATACTATCTTGCAGGTGTTCATGAAAATTGAGTTGTATTCTTATATATTTTAGATATCTTATCTAGTTCAATAACGGACAGTTTTCAGTAATCTTGATATACGTTAATATTATGGTTTGATAAATTCTATATACTGACTATACTATACAAAGATAAAAGTAAAAACGGAGTGTTCATTGAAATATTATATCTTGCTTTATATGATACATAGTGGAAACTTGATATTCTGTCAGCGCTAGACGTTAGCGGGGCTTTTATATTTTACTTTCACACTTACTAGGACTTTGATCTGTCTCTCAACCTAAGAGATAGAATTATACAGTCTATAAGGGGATAGAATTACATAGTGAGTAACACTGAACTAGAAATATAACAAATACTACAAATGGAACAAACATTTAAGAAATAGAAAATGACTATTTAAATAGAAATTACAGAGGACAATTTATTTTTAAATAGATTTTAGATTATATGGTATTTATGTAAGTAGGTGCTATAGAATAACTTAATACTAAATTAAAAAAAATAAATCTGGATCACATTAAGGAAAAACAATATGCGATATTCAGTAAATATTTAAAAGCAAAATACTCTCAGAACTTATTTACACTTACATAAATAGTTTGAATAGGTATAATGTATTACTTCCAAGGCTAAACCACGTAACAATAAAGAAAGTTATTGGTACAGTTAAAGGCAATAAACTTCATAGTTATCTATTCATTTTAATTAGTTAACTAAAGAAAAATATTTTTGATGGTAAATTAATGGATCTGAACTTGATTTTCTCATGACATAACTATGTCTATCTAACGGGTTTGTTAAACTTTAAAACATGTATTATGTAGTAATAAAGAATAATGTCAGTTTACTACTATAACCAGTTTAATTACAAAAGTAAGTAGCGTTTGTGTGTAACCAAAGGTAGAAACAACAAAGAATTACTGTTAATTAATCAAAATATTGGTAACAAAGACTCTTCTAAAATATGGGGCCATTTTATTATCCCCTCCTCTAATAGGATAGGCCTCACATTATGGCTATGAACTGTACTTCATGCCTAAGTAATTAGTAGTGCCATTCTTGAAGAAAAGCCAAAGTCATGGATGGTTTATAAGGCCGTTGGTATCTGACCCTGAATGTGACAAGGGTAGTCAAACAATATGAGCACATTTGATATAATGGATTAATTTTATATAATGCAGTATTATTTCTTTACAAAATTCTACCATTATTTATTTATTTATTCATATAAAGTATATTGGTATTGATTGTACATTTATATGCATATTAAGTTGTTTGCAAATAAAATCTAAGTATTGATTATTAAATATTGACCAGAGCCATTTGATACCACAGCCTCACAGAAAACATGAAATAACGCTTGCATTGTGCTTCGTCATGGGAGTGAGGATACTGGAGGCCCATACAACAACAATCCTCAAATTCCTAATCCAAAGGCCAGTAACGCACTTGCAACGCCTCTGGTTTTCCAGGTATCCATAGGAAACGCCAATTGCTTTCCATCAGATGATCCATCTGCTTCGGTAGGTAATCTAGATATTATTTTCAAAGCAAAATATAAAATACAGGTGTAAAAAATAGTCATCTAAATTAGAAGGTTAAATATTTTACAGTAAGGAAGTATCCTTGGCAATATCTAAGGCAATAAGTATATTGCCATCAATATCCAACAATTGATTTTGGATATACTAGAAGCTAATCACAACTTGCTTATATCACTTGTTTCACTAGGTACATCTGTAACACCAAATTAGTTATAGGTATCACAAAATATGTGTTATGGTAACAGACCAAGTTAGACACTGTTTAACTCGTCGAGTACCGTATTTATAGACACAATTAAAGAACAATAGGTTGCGGTCACCGGTGACCGCTTGGTGTTTGACAGTATAATCTAACCATTGTTACCATTTTTATTTATTGGTTTCTTTTATTTAATAAAACTAGATTTATATAAGTTAGTAAGAACCCAACTTCTTGTGTATAATAATTCTCTTCTAAACTATTCCAACTAGAATTCAAATACCTCTGATTACATAATTACTAAACATGTGAATGAAATAACTAATAAAAAATAAATTTTCATTAGAACCTTAATTGTTCATTAGAGTAAAAATTCTTCAGTAAATACCTAGTTATAGGAGTATTTTTACTTGAGGTATTTATTTACACAGAAAACTTAAATGGAATTTAAATGGAATGAAAGTTAGGAAAAAAAGTCATTATGGCTCAGGAAATAAAGGTTATGGCTAAACTGGTGATGTGTAAACTTAATAGTAGGTAAAAGTAACTGGGTACTGTTATAAATTCAGAATGTGAATGAAATAATTGGAATTTTGAATCATTGTTTATTACGAGTAGTTACCTAATAAAGTAATAGAATTCATGAGTAACCCAAACTAAACCTAAATATCTATGAAATGAAGAAATGAAAAGTGTTTGATTCGACATACAGCATGAATGAAAGGAACAAAACAAAAAGGATATACAATATTTATCTAATGATTAATTATAAAGAAAAAACCATGACATGATCTTAGATATAGGTCTTCTATAGATCTTAGATAAGAATTTCTACCACAATACAGTTTCTACACATAGTACACATTTAACCTCAATAACTAACTAGGTTGAAGGTTTCTAATTAAAACATTTTTGCAATATTTTGGATAATTGGATAAGTAATTCCCTATGTTTACTACTTAGATTTTGAAACTAAAGAATGGAATGTAAATATTGAATTCTAAGTCTAAAAATACAAATAGATGTTATAATTACCAAGTTTTTCTAATGGTCAAGAGCCCTTTGGCTGGCCTCTTCCCTCCAGCATCGGTGATGACTGAGAATCGGTCACTCAGGCTCCTTTTTACTTCTGGAAAGCGACCTCCAGATGACAGCCTCAAAGACTTCCCTGTTACTAACGCTTGCGACTTCTTAGCTCCTAAATCTACTGCTTCCTCAACCACACCACTCTCAACTTGAAGTGATACTCTTTTGCTCTGCTTCCTGTACTTTAAAGCAGCCTCTGACACATGGCCGTCAATCTCACGGTTCTTATTAAACCCACGCGCACTCTCACCAAACCCTTGGACGAAACAGAGCATAATTTCATCAGGATACGACTCCTTCATTTAGAAGGTCATAACTAAATTGTATAAACGAAATCCACTCGAATAAGGTCACAACAGCCACCGATCCGTTTAACAACAACTTTAATTCGCTAATAAACCTAGTCACAGGACATTTTCCAACTAGAAAACAGTACAGACTTCACAGAATTTCGATTACAAACTTATTTTGTTACGGTGTACGCAACTGGGTTACTAAAACACATTCAACATTGATAACTTTGCAATAAAATGGTAATTCACACAAACTCCGCGACGGGATTCGGTAATAATCAATTATAATTCACAGTTTCATTGTTCCATAATTAGCACGAAAACACTAATGTCCAAAAAATCGAAGGATTTATGTAGGCCGCCGAAAAATATCGGGGTGAACTGACATTTCTTTTACGTTCGGTAACCGCCCGTAAGTCGCGTTCAGAAACACAATCTTGCGCGGCCTCGGCTGTTTGCGAACTGACACCGGTTTGGCCGCCCCCACTCGGCCTAGCGTCCACGCGGCGACTCACAAAATGTGCGCCGCGTCGCAATGAATGGAGAATATGACGTCGTTTTGTGTGGTACACAACTACACAAGAAGTGTCAATTTTTTCTACACCACGTATTACGTTGAGTTATTAAATCTAAATAACAAAGTATCTATCGTTCAATCTTACATTATATCTAGGTCCCTATCTAAACAGATTTAATCCCGACCTAATAGGTACCTACTTAGATATTTTATACGATAATAATAAATTAATGTCACTAAAATTCCCTGCCTTTTATTTTCATTTTTCTGGGCTGGGTACATGATTACCACTATAGTGAACCTAGCCTACCAACATAAATATATACAAACCAACATAGCCTACCTAGTTTCCCATTAGTACCTACAATCACAAGGTATGTACCTAAGTGTGATAATGTCGGCTTGTTGGAGTGACCGCAAGGGAAAACCCAATTAAAAACAATGATTAAATACCTATTAAACATTACCTACCTACAGTTTTATGCACGTACCTATACATAAATATAGGTAGGTATTAGCACGCAAAGAATTTCCTGTATTAGTATATTAGAAAACAAAGTACGATAAGTATAGGAACTGTATTATACTTATTTGCGTACCTATTACCAAAGTAGGCAATTTGGGATACAGTACAAATACGTAACTGTGTCTTCCATTCCATGCAGATTTATAGGTGATCCGGACTCCAGGCCATACGATTTACAGACATTTTTTTAAATCATCCTATATAAAAATTGTGATGATTAAAAAAACTATATTAAGTACTCTTGCCAGAATCGGGTATTAAATAAAACCATGATACATTGACAAAGAAAATTGTCAAACAGCACGTCAAGAGCTGAGGCGACTGGAGATTAGTTAATACCCATACCATAAGTGGGTAAGTCCCTATTCGTTGGAGTACATTTATCAAATCACCTTCGCTTACTTTCAAATTTCAACTCTTTTATAAAATTGTAGGATTGAAAAATAAATTAGGTATCCCATTGCGTGACGGCCCATTTTGGATCAATACTGGGAAAACAAAGCAAAGTGAAGGATCGTCAAGGTTACCGGGAACCAAACTCACATTGTAGGGCTGGAAGTTTATATGTTAAAGTCATATTACTTTTAAGATAAAAAAGGAATTAGAAGTCATATTAGGATAGCTACGAAAAGGAATTTGGATTAGAAAATGCATTCTAAGTCACCTAAAAATACAAAGGAAATTCAACATGCTTAATTCTGGAAGAGGTATAGATGAAATAGAAACTTCTTCCATGACAAAGTGACAACTGTCTGGCCGGATGACCTCCTGATTGTTTGGAGGAGTGTGAGCTAAATATTACTCCAACAGTTATAAAGATTAATATCTTAAGTGTTTAACTTATACAGACATTTCTGGAAAAACGACCAACTTGCAGGTAGTATTTTCAAAACTTGGATCCAATATTTTAGCTCTAAAATTCAGTCTGCAATGAAACTGTTATACTTACATTATCTTTCAATGAAAGTAGTTTCATAGAAAACTAAGTAGATAAGCTACTGAATTCTTGTCGTAGATACGCATTATTATTCAACCAGTCACACTTTATGATTGATGGAGGCCTTGAAATATAGCTAAAGATCATGAATCGAGATAGACTGCGAGCAGCCCGTGAAATCCGTGAAATCGTATTCACTCGTGGGAAAGTAAAAACCACGTAACGATTGAAGTACCTAATGGCAAATTGGTTAATTTAGAAGTCGCGTGTACAATTTTCGTCAAGAAACATGCGAGCTTTCCCATTTCAATATCTGATTAAAGCCGGAGTCAAAGATTATTTAGGTAACAGACCAATATCCTATTGAGTTTACCTTGAAGGTTTAAATTTTCTGCGTGGTATAATGTAGGTAACGATACGCGAGAGTCTTTACTTGACCCCGAAGATTTAACGCTACTTAACTATCTTTGTACTAACTTATAACCCATTAGTAATATCGGATAAACAAGACATCATGCTCGATCAAAGAGGAAATGAAAAAAAGAACTTGAAGACTTCAAGAATGAATGACCTCATTGAGATTAAAATGTTCGTTCTCTCTACAGTTTCATTCTCAACAGTAATCCATCTTTGTCTTGTTTTCAATCGATTAATTATTTCTTTTAATGTAATCAAGAAACGGAAGAAGCGTTGTTCTTGATCAAAGAAAAACAAAATCGTTATTTTTTTATTAGGAAATTTAAGTAAAATGATGTTTGAAGAACGAATCGCTTTATTGGATGGTAATAAAATATATTGCTGTTGATTTTTGGGTGTCTAATAAAGTTACCGAGAGTAATAAAGATATATTATTTATATTTGTCTTTCGTCCTAAATTTGCATTTTAGGGACAAGTTTCATGAGGACTGGGCCCATTTTGTGATCGTTAACTTTATTGTATCTAGGTAGGTAGGTAGTATTTTTAGGTAAGTACGTCCTTTTTTATGGACGACATATTTTATAAGTGACGAATGCTATAATTTTCTCAATAACACAAAGCACTGCATACTGGCGCTTCCGTCGCTTTTAATGAGCTCATGGTAAAAAAGAACGGAATGTGTCGGGCAAAAGGAGCATATTTTGAAAGTAAAAAAAAAGAAAACAACACAAATTATATCCTTAATTTAAGCGTCAAAGTAGTATTTTAACCGATGAAATATAAGACTTTTACAATAAATAATTTGTGGTAGCTACACTTTAGCCTTTGAGGAAAATCAGTCATTTACCAACCCAAGCCAATTTACGCTACTTCAATGTTTTCAAACTCTGATCGCAGATTACGATACGAACTTATCCTTCCTCCCCAATTTCTAGCAAATCGCTTCCAATCATTTATTTTGTAAACATCTAAACATCCGCCATCATAACACGTCTATTCCGTAAGTCACAAGTACGACGCGAACGAAAACAGGGTTTGTACCGATCGATATAATCCGGTACCTACAGGAATCTCCTAGGATACGGGGAAACAAACTTGAGTTAGGTGTTACCCACTTATCTATACAGGATAAAATTATAAATGGTGTTACGAATTGCGTAATAGGAAGTTTTTTGTTGAATTTGTTGTTACTGTGTAGTATGGTATGTTTTTTTCATGGAATGAGCTGGTAAACAAGCAGACGAATCATCGGATGGTAAGCAATCGGCGCTGCTCATGGACAACTGAAACACCAGAGGCGTTACAAGTGCGTTATCAGCCTTTTGGGGATTGGAAATTTGAGGATTGTAGGAGATTCGGAGATTGGGGAGACTGGGGAGGGTTGGGGGTAAGTGGGCCTCCGGTAACCATCATAACGACGAAACACAACTCAAGCATTGTTTCACGTCGGTGTTCTGTGAGACCGTGGTAGGAATACCACGGCTTCTCCGAACCTGAGTTATCCGGCCGAGCCGACCCATTCGTGCCGAAGCATGGCTCTCCCACAGTTACTTGTAGGACCTGATTGTATAATTTAGCACTTGCATTGCATCATCAGCAACAGCCTGTAACGTCCATTGTTGGACTATAGGCCACTTCGTGAGATGGTTCACATTCCATACGAGAATTGAGTTTCAGACCGAACTTTGAAAGGTTCAAGTTTATCAAAGAGCCGTATCTATCAAACGTATAGTTCCATTGTCGGCTTTTACGACAACGGCGAAATGTCTTTAGAACAGTTATTTGTGTTGTTACTGACGGTTTCCGACCTTCAGTGACTTCAGTCATGTCATCTCATTAACAACAACTTATAACGTTGTCACTAACAAGTGAATGCTAATCGGCGTTTAGTTAGAACCGTGCTGGGTACAGAGTACAAACATACTAAGTAACAGAGATGAAGTCAGGAACTAATTAGTTCAAATTAGGGTAAGTGTGCCTGTTCGCGTACACCCTACTTAAGTTCACTAGTTCGCGGCCACCCGTAGATCGGATCGTCATGAATGTAAGATACTTAGTGAAAAGGTCGCACAGATGTGAACTATGATGTGTTCTTATATATGGTGATGTGTTCTTATTTTTGGGAATTTTTAACGGGCGTTCCATAACATGGATGCGAACTGGTAGGTGAACGCGAACAGCCGAACTTACCCTATCATATAGTAAAGAAGGAATTATAAGGACTACCTACAATCACAAACAGCAGTGTTAAGCGTCAGTTTACAACTTCAGTTGCAACTAAGACTTATTATTCTTGTTTCAACATTCACGAACTCTAATAGCCCAAAATTATTTTTTGTGTGTCTGAAATTACAAGAATTACCACATGAACCATAACAAAAAGTACTTAAACAGTACTTGTACACACGGCCACACATCAATCTATACAAAACCAGTTTATCCTGGTGTCGCGTCGCATCATTTTTCCGCACTTTTAACGTTCAGTTTATACTGGTTACGTAAAGCTCAACGTGTAGCCGTGTGCCTACCTACCTATATATAATTATCTCTACGCAACATTATTGTGATAAGTTTTTCTTGATCTAAGTTAGAGGAAACCAACAATAGATAC